AGAACTGGAGGGAACGTGCCTGTGGCAAGAAGGCAACTGCGCTGGGCAAGATCGACATTTAGACAGGCTTTTCCCTGAGGCATGCCCCGGCTATGTGCAGGTAAGTTAAAATTGCCTTGTTTATGGTTAAAACTAGATAAGCCAGAAGAAGAGAGATTAAAAAAAAAAGAAATGAAGAACAAATGCAGCAAACAGAAAACAGTAACAAATACGGCAGAGATTAATCCAAAAATATCAATGATCACTTCAAATGTGAATTATCTAAATATACCAATTAAAAGACAGAGACTGACAGAGTAGATAAAAAAAGACCCAACTATATCATGTCTACAAGAAAACCATTTTAAACATAAAGTCATAGATAAATTGAAAGTAAAGGGATTGAGAAAGATACACCTTGCTAATACTAATGAAAACAAACCTAGAGTAGCTATTTCAATTTCAGACAAAGACAACTTCAGAACAAGGAGAAACATCAAGAACGAAGTAGAAAGGGTGTTGAGGATTAAAAGGTCGATTCTCCAAGAAGACATAACAATTGTTAACGTGCACGCACCTAACAACACGGCATCAAAATATGTGAGGCATCAAAATATGTGAGGCAAAAACGGGTGGAGCTGCAAGGAGAAACAGACAGAGTGTTAGAGCCGGAGAGCTCAGCCTCCCCGTCAGCCAACTGACAGGTGCAGCAGCTAGAAGGTCCAAGGACATAGCTGGGCTCACAGCACCGTCAGTCAATTGGATTTCATTGATACTTGTAGAATACTTCATCCAACAACAAAACACACTCTGCTGAAGCTCACATGGAATATTCACCAAGATAGGCCACCTCCTAGGTTAGAAAGTCACACCTTAGCAAATATAAAATTGAAATCATACAAAGTATGCTCTCCCAACAACACAAACGTACAACTAAAAATTTATAACAGAAAGCTAGCTGGGAAATCCCCAAATACCTAGAGGTTAATTAAGCAACTTATAAACAATACATGGGTAAAATAGGAGTCTCGAGAGAAATTTTAAAATATTTTAAGGAAGAAAAATGAAAATGCCACTTATGAAAACTGGTGGGATTTGGTGAAAGCAGTACTCAGAGGGAATGTAAGATGGTTTGGCAGTTCAAGATGAAGAGCTAAAGACGCAACTACCACAGGACCCTGCAGTCACACTCAGAGAATTGCAGTTCTCCCAAAAAGATTTCCATCCACACAAAAACCTGTACTCAGAGGTTTACCGCAGCTTCATTTCTGATACCCACAGACTGGAAACGATGCAGCTGTACTTCCACAGGTGGAATGATTCAACGACGGATCGTACAGCCGTCCCACGCACACCACGGAGTACCACTCGGCCGTGAAACTGGAGCTGTGTGCAACCGCCAGGACCAATCTCCAGAGAATTGGGCCGAGTGAAAAATGGCTGATCTCCCGAAGTTTCATGCTGTATCATTCCATTTACATAACATTCTTGAAATGACAAAATTATGGAGCTGGAGAATGAATGAGGGGTTGTCAGGGGCTAAGGAGGGAGTGGTAGTGGGAGGGAAGAGGGTGTGACGAGAGGGAGACATGAGGGTTTTTTGTGGTGATGGGAATGTTCTGCACTGTAACTGATTCAATGCCAATATCCTGGTTGTGATAATAGAGGAAAAGAATAAAGGGTACAAGGTCTGTCTCCGCATTTTTTATGAAAGATTATATTCTGTTTATTTTTAGAGGAGAAGGGAGAGAAACATCGATCGGTTGCCTGTGGCACATGCCCCAACCCGTGACCAGCTGGCAACCCAGGCATGTGCCCTGACCAGGAAATAGAACCAGCAACCTTTTGCTTTTCGGAACGATGCCCAACAGACAGAGCCGCACTGGTCAGGGATCTGCACGATTTATTACAACTGCACATGAACCTATAGTTATTTAAAAATTGAAAGTTTAAGAAAAAAATGATAGGGGTGTGGGTTACATGGGTGTAAACTTAATCTCAACTTTAAAATAATGATGTGACCTCTTACCCACTAATTTACTGCTTTTCAATAAACTAGGACAAGAGTGATCATAAGATTTGAACTAAAATTTTGCATATTGTACCATAATTTCTCATAAATACTTCTTTTGTAAGCTCCTTAGAGACTATCTTGAGTCAACCTAATAGAGTTCAATTCATATTAAAATATTACTACTTTCTAGTCTCATATTAGTCTTGGCTCCCATTTGAGTAACATTGTTTGAAATAGACCCAGGGAGATTCCTTAATAATATATTGAGTAACCCTTCTTTTTTTGCCACTTATATAATTAGATATAATTATAGAACAATGGTAATGGCTTATTAGGAGATGGGATGTTTTATAAAGAAACCACTTAATATTATGAAACAAAAGTGCATGCTATCACACAAAGCTCTATTCAATGCAGCACAGTAATTCATTTGCTTGGGTGTAGAATTTATACGTTGTGAAACCTGAAACTATACCTTGTAAAGCAAAATAAATTTGAAAACTAAAGATGTTGGCTGAGCCCTGGCTGGTGTGGCTGAGTGGATTGAGCACTGACCTGCAAATCAAAAGGTTTCTGGTTTGATCTCCAGTCAGGGCACATGCCTGGGGTGCAGGCCAGGTGCCCAGTTAGGGGCACGCAAGAAGCAACTGATTGATATTTCTCTCCCTCTTTCTCCCTCCTTTCCCCTCTCTCTGAAAATAAATAAATAAAATCTTTTTTAAAAAATAATTGTACATTAAAGGAAAGATGTTGGCTGGATTTTGTAAGTGCTCCTTACTCAATGAAAGGTTCATTTAATTGCTTAACTAATAATTTAAATTTCATTATTTCTCAAAACTGAAATCAGATTTTTTGCTTAAAAGATAGTTCCACAGCATTTGAGAGCTTGCCCCTTGGCATATGTCATCAGTTTGGTTCAAACAAACTCTTACCCCAAAAAAGAGCTTTCTATATAATTACCAGAATATCTTTTTTTTTTAAGCTCAGGTTATTCTTCTTTTTTAAAAAAAATATTTTATTTATTTTTTTAGAGAGAGGGGAAGGGAGGGAGAGAGGGAGAGAAACATCAATGTGTGGTTGCCTTTCACATGCCCCCTACTGGGGACCTGGCCCACAATCCAGGCATGTGCCCTGACTGGGAACCAAACCAGTGACCCTTTGGTTCCTAGGTCTGCACTCTATCCACTGAGCTACAACAGCCAGGGCCAGAATATCTTTTTACAATTTTTTATAACCCAGCCAGACAGAATATCCTTTAATTTCAACATGAGTGAGAAGTAACTGGGGATATCAGAATCATAGAATATTAAAACTAGAAAGTCGAGACAATTTCTGTTTAGCTATCTCAATATATACAGAAGGAATCTGAACCACAGAAAAGTGAAGAAGTCACTCAAGCACACAAACTGTTTCAGTTAATGTGCATTTAATCAATACTTATTTATAGCACCCTCTACTGGAAAGCCCTGTTAGATTGGCTGGGGACATAGCAGTGAATGAAAAGGGAGAAAAAAACTCCTAACCTCCAGAGTTTATATTCTAGTGGGGGGAAAAATACAAATAAACTATATAAACCACCAGACAGACAGATGTGCTATGAAGGAAAATGAAGCAGAAAGAGGCATGTGTTGCAAAAGGAAATGGCCGATTTAAACATAAGGTCTGAGAAGGACTTGATCAAATGACATTTGAGCAGCTACACAGGTGAAGTGGGAGGGTTGCATGAGTCAAGGCTGAGCTTTCTGGGCAGAAACAAGGGTCCACACAAAGGTCAGAGGGAGACTCATTCTTGGCCTGTTCTGGAAACAGCCTGGAGGCTGCCGTGGCTGGAGCAGAGCAGGGAAATGGAGTAGACGTTATCACCGAGTTGGAAAGTCATGGCCCTTTGTAAAAAGTTTGGGACCAGGGTGGTAGATACCTTGCTTGTGAGAAGGAATTACATTTCTGAAGGAACAACTAAGAGAAAGTAAATGGCAGAGCTGGGTCTAGGACCCCGGTTTGGGTGCTTAGGTTTTCTTTTTCATACACTATGTTGCTGAATTATTTTTTAAAGTTAAAGAGAGTATTGCCAAGAAACAATTTGAATCCGAGTTGCAATGAGGGACTAGAAGTACAGTTTTTAGTACCCAGCCGAGCACAGCTCACAAGGCCTGGTGAGACAGTGTCTCTCTCTGCTATGAGGATCAGCCTGCCCAGCAGAAGCAGATTGTGACAGTTACCTTCCTGTCACCTAGATGGGCCTTGGGGTGCCCAGACTAAACGTTATTTCTGGCTGTGTCTGTGAGGGTGTCTCCAGATGAGACTGGCATTTGAATCGGCTGACTCAGTAAAGTGCTCTCCCAGTTTGGAGGGCACCACCCAATCCATCTAGGACCTGAACGGAACCAAAGGTAGAGGAAGGAGGAATTTGTTCTTTTTCCTGCCATGCTATTTGAGCTGAAATGTCTCACCTCGTCTTCTCTGGCCTGCCTCCCCTGGTCCTCAGTCCTTCAGACTCAGGTTGAATTGCACCCCCGGTCCCCGGTTTTCCTATCAGTTCTGTTTCTCTGGAGAACACCAACTAAAATATACACAAGACGGGCACCTGAGTACAGAAGAAAAACACAGCTAAACTTTACAATCCAACCACCCATTTTTCATGACCTGCTTACACATAGTGTTTTACCATCTTTTTCATCTGAGTATACTTTTATTACAATTTCAAAACAACATAAGGGAAGGGGAGGCAATCACATGGACAGGCTGCCTCCAGATCTCAAACTTATGCCTGTAGACTGAAATGCCCTTGCTGGGATTTAGACATTTAATGATCTTTAATGCCAGAGAAGCTGAGCATCCTTGACCTTATCTCCTAGACCTTTTTTTCCCATTATCACGTCTGCATCCATCTTACTGGGGTCTGTAGCAGTGTCACTAGACACAAAAAATAGACACATTTTTTTTTTTAGTTCCATTATATGCCTAGCACAGAGGCTCAGAGGGTAGGCAGTTAAATATTTGCTGAAGGAAGTTTATTTTAGAATATACGTGCTTTATTTTCAAAGAAGTTTTATTTTTACAAGAGACAAGAAAAGATGGATACAAATAATTACATGAAAACTACAGGAATTGCCTCCGTACTCTGCTGCTGGCAGGTTGGAAGCGCACAAGGGCCTCAGGTTAGGACGTACCGCGTGAGGCCCCCGCCCCGGACCTCCGACAGCCGCCGGCAGTGCCGCAAGATGTTCAGTATCACGTGAAACCGCTTGTCCACTTTCAAAGCTGTGAACTCCTTTACGTCAGCTTCCACTATAAAATAATGGCCTGCAAGTAAAGATACCAGCGCTAATTTTTTCTGGTGATTTCAAATTTTTTATTGATTTCTGATCTGATCTCATTACATCATCATTGCTTTCATCTCCTGCGTACTAGGAATATTGTAGAATGGTCCACACTGCCATTTTCTTGTTCTCTTTGCTTTTTTTGTTAGTATTGTCTTCCATCCACGTTCCCGGTTTTTCTTACTTTTTTATTGATAGTGATAAGGATAACTTTCAAGATGAGTCTTTAATGCATTATATACAATGCCTATGAACAGCATTAATCATTTTTTCTGTCATTATCCAACCAAAGTAAGAAATGGTATTCTTACTAAAATATCAGTAACAATTTTTCCTTCAGCTGAAGTTGCATGTTTACCATAGCATTTCAGCGATGTAGCCCTGCTTATTACATCACTAGCTATCTGCTGGCATCTTTTGAATGATTTGCTTTTCAGGAGTTAACATGGGATAGTGAAGAACAGAATGAAACCCTCAGCAGCTTTACCGCTTCACTGGCTGACCCTGGACGAGAAATGCAAGCTCTCTCTGCACAGCCTGTAAACTGGGGTTAGTGACAGGCTGAACCACCCAAAGGTGTCAGGAGGACTACAGCCGTTAGCACACCACCTGGGGCACAGTCAGTGCTACGTAAGAATGACCCACTGTTATCGTTCCTATTCGAATCCTGGAAACATTGGTTATAGTTCCATGATAACGCTCAACCCCAGCACCACAGACATTCTGGGTCAGATTATTCTTTTCTGTGGGAGCTGTCTTGTGGGTCGTTAGGTATTTAGCAGCATCCTTGGTCTCCAGGCACTGGATGCCAACCCGACCTCAGCAGTAACAACCGATGTCTCCAGAGATGGCCAAATGTTCCCTGGTGGGAAAATCACCATGGGGTTGAGAGCCATTACTGTAAATTTAGAATTTTCTAGAACTAGCTTTGTTTCTTCTGATTTATTTATACTCCAAACAGTTGACATACACACAAACACACACATATATATGCTATTATTTACCTTTAGTATCCTTTGTTTCTTCATCAAGGAATCTGTGATAGAGATTTCGGGCCACAGAACTCATAGTGGACTTTTTTGGCTGATGTAGGATCTTATATTTACTAACTACTGCCTTATTGATTTCTTTAATAACATCATTGATTTGACAATAGGTTAAGCGGGATTTCATGTACCTGTAAACAAGTATATGATTAATGTTTCTGAAGACTCACCATACAAAACATTTTCATTGAAAAGTATTTATGATGACTTCATACAGTAACAAAGCTATTAGTACTCCTTATACAAAATGTTAAATCCACTTTCAAATACACCAGACATGTCTCAACAGCTAAAAACTTACCTAGAGACCACAACATACTAGTGGTCTCCCTAGTTATATCTGGAGGCACTGATCTCTGTTCCCCACCTACAGACTGAATGAACTGATTAACTGCAAGTCAGAGGCTTATTTAAACATTTTTATATGTTTCCAAGCAAGGGAATAACAAAATTTTAATGGTAGCAAATTATGTAACTTATACCAGTCTAGTTTTCTGCAGAAACTTGTGTGTCAGAGCAAGAACAAACGGGAAGGAAAGGAAGGCGAAGGATACCAGAAGGCCAAGGCAAAGACAACGGTGCCGGTGCAGACACAGATGGTGGAGGGTGTGAGGAGGGCTCTTAAGTGGAGCTGCAAGGCAGAGAGCCTGCTCGGGGCCACGCCCTGCTCTACTCGGGGCCACGCCCTGCTCCATCCCCGAGCTCCCATTACCTCCAAACGCTGTCCCTTCACTCTGCTATCTTCTCCCAGTCACCCCACAGTCTTAGCATATGAAAACAGGCCACTCTCTATTTTGAGTGGTTTGTACATTCCAAAAACAAATCTTAATGACCGGCCTCAATTTTCCCCTTCAACAAACTCTAAATTCCTTCCGTATGTTAAACTCTGTCCTTCACCTCTATTCAAAGGGCAAGTTTTCTAAACAAACTTCCTTAATGTAACATAATACAGAAATATGTTTAAAGAAAAATGTTCACATTGCCCAAAAGCATTCATTTTCATTATTCCCTTCTTTTCTAAGTTCATTTCTGTGGCAATTTTTTCTGACCACGGAGCTTGGTTTCCACAAAGTGTTGATACCACAGCTCTGCACAGTGCAATTCCGTTAAAGTTTCTGAACTACAGCACCTTAACTTCCTCAACACCCTCCCCCTGCTTCTGCCAGTACTTTCCACTGGAAAGTAGGAATGTATTTCCACCCTCAGTATTAATGTTTTAAAGAAAGAAAGAAAAGCCCCACATTTGAAATACATTCTTCCTTATCCTAATCCTCAAATTTCTCTTATTTCCTAAATAACATCTTAGTTTAAAAATTAACACTCTAGCCCTGGCCGGGCAGCTCTGTTGGTTGGAACATCATCCCGAACACCAAAAGGTTGCGGTTCAGTCCTCAGTCAGGTGCATGCGGGAGGCAAATGACCAATGTCTTTCTCTCTCTCTCAAATCAATGAGTACATCCTCCAGCGAGGATTAAAAAAAATTAATACTTTACCATGACTATTTAATTTCCTTCTTTTATCTCTTCATGAAAGCATTTTATAAACAACAACAAAAAAGCCCTTCTGTACCAGAGTTCCTCACTGACATTTCCTCTTCCTTGTAGTTTGGCCAACTAACAATAATAACGATTTAAAAAATGGAATAGCATCAAACAGAATTTCCATGCAAAAAACGCTGTCAATAAAGGAAAAGTCTGACTGACACCCCCCCCTAAAAAAAAGATTAAAGAGAAATGTCAGCCTCCTTACTAGTCCCAGAATTATCAAACAGCCAGGCATTTTTTCAAGTGGCTCATAAGCACGTGAAAAGATGTTCAACATCATCTGTCATCATGAAACTGAAAATTATGCGACATCACTACACACCTATTAGAAAAGAGAAGAAAAACATGACACAACACCAGTGAGAATGGGAAACAACGAGAACCCTCGTTCATGGCTCGTGGGAATGCAAGACGGCACAGTAACTTTGGAAGACAGTTTGACAGCTTCTCACAACGCTGAAGATAGTCCTACCACTGGACCTCGCAACCCCACTCTTCGGTGTTTGTCCAAAAGAGTTACAAATGAATGTCCACACAAAAGCCTGCACATGGACGTCTACAGAAGCTTTGTTCACAACTGCCCCAAACTGGAAGTAACCAAGATGTCCTTCAGTAGGTGAGTGGACAAACTGTGGCACATCCAGACAACGAAGTATTAGTCAGTGATAAAAAGACATGAACTACCGACCCATAAAAAGACACGGGGGTCAAACATATAGTGACAGAAGACTTGACTCTGGGTAGCAAGTACACAATGCAGTGCACAGATGATGTATCATAGCACTGCATGCTTGAAACCTATATAATCTTATTAACCGATGTCACCCCAATAAACTTAATTTTTAAACATTCTGAAGGTTGGGGAGGAAGTTTTCAGCACAGTAAAATGATTTTATATCCTTAAGTAAAATGTGCTCTCAAATTGTGTTTCTACCTATGGAAATAAAAAAATTAGACCATTTATTTTGTTTCTTAGTTGTAATGGCCACTGGGAGATTCAACTAAAATAAAAATTAAAAAAAAAAAAAAAGACATGGGGGGAGTCTTAGATTCATATTACCAAATGAAAGAAAAAGAAGCCAATCTGAAAGGCTACACAGTGTACGATTCCACCTAAATGATACCCGAAACCACAGAGCCATGGAGACAGAGAACAGACTAGAGGTCGTCCAGAGCTCGGGGGAAGAGACGTGTGGGTGAAGCGCAGGGTGGTGTTGGGCCAGGGAAACTACCTGTGTGATACTGGAATGGTGGACACGTGTCACTGTGCATCTGTCAAAACCCACAGAATGTACAACAGCAAAGGGCAAATTCTACTGAGAACTATGTTCTTTGGTTAATGATGTCTCTGCATCAGTTTATCAGTTCTAACAGATGTACCAATGACGCCAGATGTTAATGACAGGAGAAACTGTTCTCGGGTCTGAGAACACTCTGTGCTATCTACTGAATTTTCCTGTAAACCTAAAACTGTTCTAACAAAGTTTATCAATTAAAAAACAACCAACAAAAACTGGTATAGACAACTCTTAGGACAGTGAAATAATCATGCCCCTTGTCCCAGGGATTTCCCTCTTAGGCCTCTATCTCAGGATAATGAAGAATTACAAAATAGACTTGCCTAAAAGAAATGTCACTGTACCATTGTTTCTAAGAATTAAATCAACCCAAATAGTTAATAAGGGAATGCTTAAATAACTTACAGGGTAGCTACATGAGAAAATATTATACAGCTATTAAAATCCAAGTTTACAATAATAGTTGATGATAGGAAAATGCTCAAAAAGAAAATTGTATTTATAGTATAACTACATTGTTATAATAATCAGCAACAACCAGTTATATGTATGAAATTAAATAAAATCTAGAAGGAAATACTCAACCTTATCTGAGAGGCAGAATTACAGATGAGTTGCTCTCTGACAACAAACATTTTCTAACATGTATTATAAAGAGGTAATAAAAATCTGTAACACAAGGCCAAGAGGTGAAGCAAAGCCCTGACGTTATAAGAGTTACAAACATGGATTTCCACACTAGGGTTCCCTACTGCTGTCACCTGTAAAGAGCAAAGGAGACCCGCCTCCAGGGCGGGGGTGTTTTATGTCATTTCACCCCTGTGTTCTCCTCAGGGACCCAGGCCCAGAATGGAAAACAGACTCCAACAAGTGTGGCATAAGCTAAGGGACAAGTATGTCAACACACACTTCCACAACATCCCCCATTCTAATCTCAAATCTACGCAACATACTTTCTCTGCAATTACAGCAAAACTGAGGCTACTCTAAAATGTAACTGGAGAGACCGATCACAAAATGGTCCTGGAGAGGATGTGGCAATAAACTGAGCCAGCTCTGTATGTCTCCATGCAAAGATGCTTCACGACTAAACAAAAAGCAGGCCCTGACTGCTGTAGCTCAGTGGATTGAGTGTGGGCCTGTGAACCACATGATTGCGGTTCGATTCCCAGTCAGGGCACATGTCTGGGTTGCAGGCCGGTCCCCTGCAGGCCAGTTCCCAGCAGGGGATGCACGAAAGGCAACCATACATTGATGTTTCTCTCCCTCTCTCCTTCCCTTCCCTTCTAAAGAAATAAATAAAATCTTTAAAAAATAAAAATAAATTTTAAAAAAGCATGACTTTAAGCACCTTCAACAAGAGATTTACTGTGTTTTCCCAGTACAATGTAAAACTATTTAGAAAAGATTGACATTTGAACATAGCAATTATGAATATAATCAAGCTTTGTGATTTAAACAATCATGTATGTCGCTTATTAATGAGTTGAATGTTAAAAGTACCTACACATGCCCTGGCTGGTGTAGCCCAGTGGATTGAGCATGGGCTGTGAACCAAAGGGTCACCAATTCGATTCCCAGTCAGGGCATACGCCTGGGTTACTGGCCAGGTCTCCAGTAGGGGGCGCGTGAGAGGCAACCACACATTGATGTTTCTCTCCCTTTCTTTCTCCCTCCCTTCCCCTCTCTCTAAAAATAAATAAAATCCTTTCAAAGTACTTACGCAGGAATGCCATTAAACTCCTCAGAAGTTATAAAGGGCATTTCTTTAATGTTTCTTTGCTCTTTTGGCTTCTTCTTTGTGGCTCCAGGTTCCTCACCTTTGACAGGTTCTTCACCTTTGACATGTTCCTCGGGGTCAAGATCCGACACAGCAGCACTACAGAACAGACGCACAGACGTACAGGTAATCGTCAGAACTGTGCAGCACCACAAAGTTCTTCCGACGGAAGATAATCAGTATCAAACACATGCCTTGTCTCATTATAATAATTTCATAGCAAACATTTTTTCTATCTCTCCCCCTATTGTTCATGGAGATCCAAATAGTGAGAATACTGACAAACCAGGTCCCTGAAACTTCAGTAATGTAATTGTATTTGCGTACCCCCAAAGGGAGCCTGTGGCACCTACACTAAACATCTTCATCAGTTATCCCCTGGCCCCTCAGAGTCACTATGGGCAAGTCGGTCATCTTATACTTCCGTTTTTCTCATTTATCCCGTTGGTTGCTGGCCTCAGTCTCCCCCTGCTGCAGAGTCATTTGCGTTGCCAGCAAGGAACACAGTCACCCTTGATTCAGTCCTGCCCAATGTATGGAGTCAATGAGAAAGCTAATCTAGCTCCTACCCACTAGCAGAGAAGTCTATAGAGACAGATTAGCTTCCAGGTTAACTTCCCGGGGAGGAAAGGAGCCCTGTTGCCAGTCACAAATCAAGCCATACCGGCTTTACTGTTCCACAAAAGAAATGGGATACAGGAAGGGCAGATCCAACCCAGGAGCCAGTGAGCCTCAAGGAAGATCGTGAGGATAGCTGAGCACCAGGCACTGAGGGCAAGCAGGCTTGACTGAGGAGGTGGCCATGTCAGGGGCTGTCAGGATGAAGATGCCTGATGCTATGGGTCCATCACCCTTGCATGAACCCTGACATGAGACTCCACAGTGAGCCTGACTGGTACTTGCTTGTCTTGACCATGTGCTAAGGACACTCCTGATTCTCCTTTACACCCTGTTGTATCAGCTGAAACCTACAGTTAAGGTTCTGCTTTGACCTGGCCCTGAAAACCAGAACCAAGCCATAGTGACTTCAGAAGAAAATTCCTATTCCCCAGGCCATATTCCTGCCAATGTCCACTGTCCAGCCCACAATGTCTATCACTGTGGCAGATATCATGTAATGACCTCGGTTACCAGCATTCATTCATGACCCTGCCCACTCGTTTTCTCTTCTAAAGGGAAACTCCAAGGTACCCAGGGACTCTGTGGAGCTGACTTGTGGAGGCCTTCAACTATCAGCAGTAACCTGGCTCTCTTCCTGCACAGCGGGGTTCGGCCTTCCTCTCGGTTTTTAAAATTTAAGCAGTCCCTGGCTGGCGTAGCTCAGTGGATTGAGCGCAGGCCTGCGAACCAGAGTATCGCGGTTCGATTCCCAGTCAGGGCACATGCCTGGGTTGCAGGCCAGTTCCCAGCAGGGGACTCAAGAGAGGCAACCACACATTGATGTTTCTCTCCCACTCTTTCTCCTTCCCTTCCCCTCTCTCTAAAAATAAATAAATAAAATATTTTAAAAAAAATTTAAGCAGTATTTCACTTATAGGAATATATGCAAAAGTGTGATTATCACAAATACCAGATAATTACTTCTGACAGAAGGAAGGTCTGCAACAGAAGTATTTTAAGTACTGGTAGTGTCTTATTTCTTAATCTGACTGGTAGATACCAATTTATTATTATTTTAATTGCACAAATAATACTTTAATCCCTTTTTGTATATATGATGTACAAGGTCTGGCAGAAGTAACGCCTGCTTGAGTATGGTTGGTAGGGTAATAATGTGGGGGTAGCAATTTATAGTTTTAATTTGAACATTTTACCTAAAATGTCATATGGTGTGCTTGAGTGTGACGTTGATATGTTACAGAATTACATGCTTATGATTTTGTAAGAAAAGATTTTGTTACAAAAGGGGCATTACTTCTGCTGGGCCCTATATTTTCAAAATCAAAAAAATTTAAGTTAGTCATGGAATGTTTTTACATACTTGGAGCCCCCTTTTAGAAATATAATTTTGGTGGCAAAGGACTGAGAGATGAGAGTAGAGAAATACTAGAAAGACAAGTCACAGGAACTCCCAAATCATAAAGACAAAAGATGGCAGAAGCTCTCATTCAGGGCCAGGCAATGAGAACAGAAGGGAGGGAAGGGACAGACAAAAGCCTGCAGAGGCAGAACCGACAGCTGATGGCCACGAGAGCACAATTCGGGCTGAAGATGCCAACTTCCTGTCGGGTGACGGAAGGGTCACAGCAACGGGCACAGATGTAACAGGGAACCACTGAGTTCAGTTTCAGACATGCAAAGTTGGAGAGAGCAGCCCATTCATCGGACTGCCTGCAAAACAGCAGAACTATATGTCATGTCCAAAGACTGAAGCTGGACATTTGGGAGCATCAACAGCGGTGCTGGGTAAGAGCGAGTAAGACAGAGCTTTAGGAGATACTTGTAACTTAAAGGAGGTCTGAGGCAAAGCAGGCAGCCAAGTCAGGGATGTGAGTGACAACTAAGAAACCACAGCGGTGATACAGGTAGCAAAATTTCAAAAACCAAGAAGGTGGACAACAAAATACAACCTGAAAAGAGAATCAGGGCTGAAGAGCGATCTCTGACGTCTTTTTAACCTGGGACTATCAGTTTCCTAAGTGTGGTGGTAATGACAGCCCCAGGCCAGGTTTCAGCTGCTCTGGGGAAGGTACAAACACGGCTGATCAGAGGTAGGCCAGGCATTTGAGGGGGAAGCAGAGCTGAGGTTTTTGTTGTCGTTGTTCCTTTGGCTGTTTTTATTTTTTTAAAGGATACTTTTTAAAAAAAGATTTCACTTATTTTCAGAGAAAGGGGGAGGGTAGAAGAAAGAGATGGAGAGAAACATCAATTGGTTGCCTCCCACTGGGGACCTGGCCTGCAACCCAGGCATGTGCCCTGACCAGGAATCAAACCAGTGACCTTTCAGTTTGCAGGCCAGCATTCAATGCACTGAGCCATACCAGCCAGGGCGCTTTGGCTGTTTTAAAGATGGGAAGCTCATTAAGGTTATTTTGACCCGAAGGCTGTGGTCCTCAAGGTCAGGGGAGCTTTGTTCCCCCAGAGGACATGGCAATGTCTGCAGACATTTTCACTGGGTAGAGGTGCAGGGGATTTGGGGTGCTACTGATCTCTGGTTGGTAGAGTGAGAGATGTAACTAAACACCCTATTATCACAACACAGAACTATCTGGCCCCAAATGACAAACTCGGCTCTAAGGGAAGGAAATGAGAAAAGGCAGAGAAAGAGACCCTAGAGGAGGCTCACACTTGGGGAAGGGGGGAGACACTTTTCTCAGAGAGAGCAGGATAAGAAAACTGGCAAAGGCAGGGGAAGTATTATTTCTGGTGTAACTAACAGAACAAAACAAAACAAACAAAAAGCCCAGACAATCACAAACAAAACTGCAAGTACACGAAAAAGCAAAAAGATCTGAGGTGTTTGTTTTAATAGTTTTATAAATCCAGATGGCAAGAGTAATTATAAATATACTTACGAGTTCTGGGTTACTGTTACTTGAGGCAAATGGGGAGGAATGTTCTCTTTGAGATGTTGCACATCTTTATAATCTTCTTCCAGAGAGGCACAGAGTTCCTGAAATTGAAGAAACATTCACAAGTAAGCACCCACCCTGCCAGTGTGTGTACTAAGATGCTGTAAACAGCGTGACAGGCCCAGACACACAATCGCAGTAATTCCCAGTGTTCAGAACACAGAAGGGGTGAAAAAGCACTGAATGCAGCAATGCTTTAAAGAGCCCTCTGGTTCCTAGAGCTGTTCTTGGATGGCGATATAATACTTTTCTCTACAGATTTTTTAAAAGATTTTATTTATTTGTCCTTAGAGAGCAGAACAGAGGGAGAAAGAGAGGAAGAGAAATATCAACATGAGAAACATCGGTCAGTTGTCTCTTGCATACACCCGGACTGGGACCGAACTCGCAACCCAGGCATGTGCCCTGACCGGGAATCAAACCAGTAACCTTTTGAGGACATGTGCCCGGTCAGGGCTCTATAGATTTTCTTGAAGAATAATTATTATAATCACATTACAAGAGGCAGGTTGACATTTCTAAACTACTTTAACCTTGAAGAGCAACTAGAAAAACATGAAAGATATATGCTCGCCATTCTGGTAAATTGCTTTTGTTGACTTAGTAAAGGTTCCCAGTGTTATCTGGGCAACAGCACGAGGGTAATGACATTAATGACTCGTGCCTGGAACTCAAGGACAAGAGGCCACTCGGAACAGCTTCCATTGCTGACATGCTCATACTCCAGCTTAATGAAAATTTCTGTGATTCTAATGGCTCGTTCTGGTTTTCAGTTGTTTTTGTGTAACTGTCAGCAGAACTTGAGGCAATGAACTCATGCAAATTTAACAGGAAAAATATTCCGCAACTTTGAGTTCCTGCCTTCTGATTCTCAATCACACTGTTAGCACAATTTCCAAGTAGCCCTCAGTTCTGAGTTGAACATTCTCCAGACCCACACCTAACCCTGGGTATTTTGGGGCAGGTTAGAATTCAAAGCAATATGGGTTTCTGTTTTAAATTTATAGGGCATCTCTGTTTTAAAGAGCTAAATGATGTTCATACATACTATTTTTATCTCAACTAGTAGTAAGATGGGCATAATCATGTCCGCTCCTATAGCTGAAAAATCTTTACAGACCTTAAGAATCACGAGGTTGAAATGCACTGTAGAGGCACTTCATTCAATCCCATTGAACTTGTCAATGGCTCTAAGAGCATGAGGTAATTGTAGTCCAGAATGAGTATTTCATCATCAGGAAGTACATAGCACCTTATTGGCTGAAGTCAGTTAAGCTCTTTGAGGACAAAATGTGCATGTGAATAGGGCTCAAGGTTCATCTTTACTTGTGAATCCGCATATGACTTATTATAGGAATTTAAAGATGCATAATAGAAGGGTCTTAAGAAATAGTTCGGCATGACCCATTATTTTCCAACTGAGGACCCAGAGACCCCAAGAGGTCCAGCAGCTGTCTCAGGGTGGCAGAGGGTGCTAAGGGCAGCCCGGGTGCACATCCACAACTCATCTCAGGGCAGATACTCCCTCATCACCAGCCTACCAGGATATCGTGTGTTTAAACTAAACCTATCAAGAATTATTGAGGAAATCTTCATTTTTAGTCAAGTTCAATTCCATTGGCTACTAGCATATAAAAAGGAATACCTGTGGAGTTCTGGAGTCCTTTATATTAGGAAAATAAAATGCAAATAACACACTCTACAATTAATAATAATTTACAAAGCTAAGAACATTATAAACTTACAGAACCCTTAAGAATTCCTGGTGATTAGGAAATTTGTACGTATTGCCTTTTTATTTTGTTGCTTCATCCAGAAAACACTACCTTAAGTGTATTAGTAGTTTGTTCTTGATACTGAATTTCCAATTCCAATTTATTTAGAAGTTCATTTACGACAATGATCTCATCTCCGATTTTATTTAAGATAGTCTTCAAGATGGGTTCTTGACCTATTCATAAACAAAGATGAAAAGGAAAATTAAGTGTATAGAAAACCAGTAACATACATGTACCCAACCAAACTCCTGGAACAGAGCTTTACCTTAGAGAGACATTTAGAGGCAGAGGAAGAACTGTTGTCTCAGGCCCTAGGACCTGTCTGCACGGGTGATCTTAAAACCTCGTTTCTAAGTGTTAGCATGGAAAAGAAGGGAGAGGCAAGTACAAATGTCTCCTGCGTCTTTCATCTCTGGCAAAACCCTCCACTATTAAAAAGAAATCTCTATAAATGCTAGATAGAATAAACACCCTCTACACATACAACCAAGCTTTCGTGAGAATAAGGTGAATGCCCAGGGAGGGAGAGCCGGAAGGGAGAACCACAGCCCAGGCAGTGCACGCGAGATGATGCGGCAGCAGCCCTAATCTGGGGGGAGCAGAGTGAAGCCAGAAAGTTTGGCAGTCTCGGCTAATGTATTTGGGGTTTTTTAAAAGACATTATTTATTTATTTTAGAGAGGGGAAGAGATGGAGACAAAGGGAGAGAAACATCAGTCAGCTGCCTCTGGCAAACCCCCAACGGGGTATCTGGCCTGCAACCCAGGCATGTGCCCTGACAGGGAACTGAACCAGCAACCTTTTGTTTTGCAGGATGACACCCAACCCACTGAACTCCATCAGTCATGGCAAATAATATATTTGGTTTTAACGGGGACCAAGCCCACGTTTTGGAACTTTAAAGCACAGGGTGTTAGAAGTGAGAATCCCAGATTGAAGCCAGGGCCCCTCTGCATGGGCTACATCTTCAGTGAAAGTGTAAAGCTAAAAAATTCTAATCACTGGCTAGGGAGATATAAGCTCATGTCCTGGCCTGGCCCTCAGGTGTGTGTGGAAGGTTAGGGAGAATTCCGCTTCAGAAGGTCCCTTCAGAGGTCTGGGATTCACATTTACACTGTCCACATGATTAATGATCCCTAAGTGAAGAAAGGAACAGAAAAAGTCACATGCCGGTGGTAGCCCTGGGGTGCCAGACAGGAACAAACGCTTCATATAAAGTAGCAGGCTCACTTACTCCCAACCCCACCTCCCTGGCTTCATAGATTTGAGGATGGGAAAACTGAGGTTTCCTCCTCTCAAGAAATAAAAGAAGTACCCCCCAAAAAATTTTTTAAGGGCAGGGCTAAAGCACAAAAGAAGAACTGATCTCATAATCAAATCTTTCCGTCTTCTAGCAACCAAATATGCATAAGAGCACAATTTTTATATCTATAAATTATGGAGACAGTAGAATGAAATGGCTAGAGGCTCCAAGCCTAAATTCAGAAACATTAGTACCTACTTTGAGATTCCTGCAAAGGTAAGGGAGGAAGTTTCTATAACAGGGGCTTAGCATTATGTTTGGAACCTGGTGAAACACTCAGTAATATCTAACTACTATTCCTCACCATCATGAGAAGCAATATATTATTCTACCTAATGGAGCAGTGCGAACTGTATTGGACACTAGGTTCATAACAACAAAATCAAATTAGGAATTAAATGAGAGTATTGATGTCTTTACTGAGATTAATTTCGGGGGGTTAAATAACTAGTTGAATACATTCGTATTTTAAATAACTTTTAGTCATTTAAATTTTAGGGCCCTGTTTACTGATTTGTATTAATGTTAATGGCTAAACCAATTTACCACTCTGGATACTAGTGATCTAATAAATTACAGCAGCCAAAGTGGCAAACAAATCACTGTTTTATAATATAGGTTTTAGAACCAAGCAAATCATTCCCCCCATATACAAATGACAATTACCCAGTGTGTTGTGCAATCTACTAGGTTAGACTGCTTTGGCCACTCCCAGTGCCTTAGTAGGATCAGCTGAATGTAAGGCTTGATAGTTTTAGTTTTATAGGCTATCCAAATTCTATCTTTTCACCCAATAGTAATCATGCCCTCTGAAAGAGAATGTTGTTTAGAATTAGTCTAAACAAGACTATTAAACATCTAAATATCCTTTTAAGATTTCTCAATAAAAGTGGCACAGGAGTAGAAAGAGAACTAGACTGGGAATCAGGACACACAAACTGCAGTCCCAAATGATTATTCATAAGCTGGGGGACCCAGGAAGTCACGTGACTTCTGAGTCTCCATTGCCTCATGTGAGATGCAGGAGTTGGAGATGAAGCCACAGCACCTTCGGCTTTAACTTTCTACAGAATATGTTAATCACAAACCATAAGATAGATGAGGCTCCTTTATTAGCGGTTCTCAACAAGAGATGGAAATACCAAAGTGCCTAGGAGGGCATGTACAATTTGAAAGGGAGTTCCAACATTATAATTTCATATTTTAATTTTTTAAAAATTATCAATTCATGCCACAAGCTACAGTCAAGTTCAACAGTCTTCTCAGCAGATACAATCCTAGCTATTGATAAATTTTCAGCTCTCCTAGGTAGGCTTGGGAGCACATCATTTTTGTAAACACCATTGTCCCAGACTTGACAAGGATCACTTACTTCTTTGCATCTTCGGTGCATCATCCCCTTTCAGCCCATCAGAATATTTTGGGAGATGGTTACAACCTACAAGTTTCTGCCTATTTAAAAAAATTGGTTTCATTTTCAGTTAGTTGTTTCCTAGTGATATATAGGGATAAGCGTCCTCTAAAGCAGGCTATCTGATGAGTTATGGGCTATTTACTTCTGCCCTGGGTCTTTCCCACTTCTGCTTTTACCCCTTACCTTTAAGTATTTCCATTTAGTTCTAGAACCACAAATGCCATGTAACCTTCAAACCCTACTATTTTGCCTTGTATATCTCAGAAGAACATAATAAATCTAATTACTATCCAGTATCCTCTGCAATATTCAAAATATGGATGCCAGACTGCTTTTAAGTCACCATTTGAAACCTAAAATTACCTTTGCAAGATACATTCACTTAGCCAGGCATAAAATATCAAAGTGGAACAATAATCAAAATGCATTTTGTTTGTACAGTCAGTAAAATCTATTCTACTTACCACAATTCCTTAATGCCAGACATGTTTTAATATTCCTAATCTTTTCATTAATATAAGAGCATATTTGTTCCAGATCTGAAGAGGCCATCCTTTAAGCCTCTGAAGAAAAAAATATATAAACACAGTTAGTTTCCAAAAACAAAAACCAAATTTCTGTTCACTTTCAAAATCCAAGAATGGTTAATATCCAGTAGATCACATACCCTTGAAAAGAAAGTACAAAAAGTCAAGAGCAATTTCTTTCAAATCTACAAAATTCGGTTTCTAACCAAAATGCAGTACTGACGTTTCTACTGCAGCCTTCTGTATGTAGTCAATGCATCCCAAACCATGACACAGGGAATAAGCCTGCATCATCTCTTTAAGGACTTGAAGGGAGGGCAAATACACTATGAATAAAAACAACTTTGGCATTTTCTTTAAAAACGCAAAAACATGCAAATTTTAAGAAAAAACAAACAGCAAGTGCAAAGAAACGAGTGCAGGTAAGCGTTTCTCCATGCTGTGGGGGACTGTTTGGGGGCGGTAACGACGCGGAGGAAAGCTATCGGTTACAGTGCACTCCGAAGGTAGCTGAGAACGTCTCCAGCGCCCACTCTAACCCAGAGGGCGGAGGACGGAGGATCCCTGCTCCCCCGCCTGGCGCGATCCCACATCCCACATCCCGCTCAAGCAATGCCTTTTGCCTGCTTCCTATTCCAGGATCCCCAACTTCGCGCGGGTCTGGGAGTCAAGGATCCATTCTGGGGCGAGAGGGCCCGACCACTCACTCTCCGGTCTCAGGCGGAAGCCAGGGATCCCGCGAGAAATTCAAATAGCCCGCCGGGACTTGGCGCCGCGCAGGCGCGTTTCGGCACTCGGGACTGTAGGCTCAGCGCCGTCAAGCGTTTAGGCCACAGCAAGGTTGAGACGGCGGAAAAGGCGGAACTTGGTAAGGCGGGAGCCTTAGTATTTTTGAAAACACCCAGATGGTTCCAAAACGCAGCCAGAGTTTACAGCCTCTGTAATGCAAATTTACAATAAGAAAAAGTTTAGTTGTGGCCAGTGTGGCTCAGTTGGTTGGGCGCAGTCCCGACCGAAAGGTCGCCGGTGCATTCCTGTGTGTTGGTTCCATTCTCGTGCGCTCACTTGCCCGTGGCAACCTCTGGTACCTCCAGACTTAGACTCTTACAGGTTAGCAGTCCTTGCTTTTCTGGGAGATCTAGCAAAAAAACCCACGGTTACATCTCATTGGCCCAACTTGGGCCACGCCCAAGTCAATCAGTCTATTTCGACGGATGGAATGGTCTTGGAGCTGGAGGCCAGGTCAGCTCTACCCAAAATAGCAGGACTCAGACTGAAATAGAGGTGCTTTCTCAAAGGAAAATGTAGCTGCTTTTACGACATAAGGGGAACGGGGGATGTGTTGGAGGCAGGTAAAAATGAAACAAAAACAAAAACCTGTCTTCAGGTTATAACTACACGTATAAAAACGGGAAAAAATGAAATGGTCAAGTTGTAAGATATTGCAGAACTGTTTCTTGCAAAAATAAGAGCAAGGGTAAAAGTAATATAAGCTCTAGTCTTTAGGGAAAATAATATCAGTTAACGTGTATTGGGTATTTACTCTAATCCTGTTATTTTACATATATTAATATTACCCCACTTAATCTTTGTAATAAACATAAACACTTAAAATCATGATCTGCATTTTACAGAGGAGGAGACTGAGACTTATAATTAAGTAACTTGCCCAAGTCAATAAAAGGAAAAAATTGAATCCCTGACCTCAGAGCCTATCTTCTGCCTCTCAGGAGCAGGGAGTCATTTGCTCCCCTTTTTTGTGTTCCCAAACCTAAAGATTTCCATTGTTGCTTAATTTCCTCATGTAATTTATACAACACATGAACAATTCTAAATTATTTATGAACCCCAAGTTTTTGAAACCCAACTGACTTTGACAGAAAAGACTTTATCTGCACTTTTAGTGCTTTTCTTTGTCTTTTTCTTGCCGCCAGGTGTCCAGTTTAACTTCTGAATGTACCCAAGTCAGAATTAGCTAAGAGTCTCATTGTAGAGGTAGAACTGTAGAATAATACAAGAATCTCTTTAAACAAGAGGACCCTGCATTTCTGGGCAGCTTGGGAAATGCTTATTTCTTTAGTTTTGACCAGTGACTGGCAACCAATTGGTCCAATAACTTTGAGGGTAGTCCATACCTATCTAGTACAGAAAAGGTCTTCCTTTCAGAAGAGGGAATCCTATTCCAAGAGATGGGACCATTCTGGGGTGCCTCACTGACCGCCTGGGGTGGGTCTGACCCTTTGGGGAGTTATGACATCCGAAGCAAATTATGGTTCTCCATTTCCTGCTAAATGACATTCCTTTGGCTTGTTTTTATAAGCTGTTTTCCAGATGAAAAAATTAAAATTGGAGGCATTTATTTGTAATACAGCTCTCACAGGGATTATTTCTCAATTTTCATTAGCTGCCACGGCAGCCAAACTGAATCATCCCAGAAAATCAAGCTCCTTGCTAGTGTTCTTTTCATTTTATTGAGTCTTCATCTGGTATATAATTTTTTAGTGTTATAGTTAGAGCCCCAATTTCTGTGCCACCAGGCTGCCCTTAACAAGGGCCCTGGGGTACATAGTATGACTAGAGGCAGGAAGGGAAGGTCCCCAGCATGAAAACTGTCTTTCAATGACCTCTCTCTCCTCTCCAATCTCTCAATCAATCAGTCTTTTCCCTCCATCCCTCTCCCTCTGATGTGCCTCGTTGGTGACACAAAGGAAGATGGAAAAAGCATCAGGTCATCTTTTTGTTACACCAAGTCTGTGAACTTCAGAGGTGGATGACTTCTGAGATCACTTCCAGGTCAAAGCATTAGATTCTTTTTCTTGTGAAACACTCCTCCTAACTGTAGCCTGCTTTTAAAATAAAAATATGAGTATGTATAGGATAATAGGCTTTTAAGTTGGCAAGGAGAATTAAGATTGCTTCACAGATTTTTCTTCCTCTACCTCTTAATAAAATGCACCAAAAATAGGCTTAACATACTCTAAGAATCCGTTAATAATTACCAACAAGGAAAGTGAGATAAATGTGAGGTAATAAAATCTAAAAACTGATGCCAAAGAGATCAACAGGGTTCTGGAGCAGAGAGGAGTGAAGAGTGTGATCTGGCACCTAGCCATGCCACCACCCCTAAAAAGTTACAGCTATAGTCTCTCATTAGCTGTCTTGGTTACCAGATCAATGGTTGCGGTATCACAGTGCTTGCATTCAAGTCGCCCTTATTTTACCTAATTTACAAGAGTAGTGATGCTGGTGATTTGGTCATGCCCAAGAGCAGTTATAAAGTGCTTCCTGTAAGTGAAAAGGTGAAAGTTCCCGACTTAATAAGGAAAGAAAAAAAATTGTATGCTGACGTTGCTAAGACCTAGGGCACGAACAACTCTATCTTTGAAATTGTGAAGAAGGAAAAAGAAATTTGGGCTAGTTCCATCATATCCTCACACTGCAAAAGTTACAGCCATAGTGCATGATAAGTGCTTAGTTAAGATAGAAAAAGCACTGAATTTGTGGATGGGAGACATAAACAGAAAATATGTCCCCACTGTCACAACTTTTATGACAGTATATTTTTGTAATTGGTCTATTTTACTTACTGTTGTTAATCTCTTACTGTCCCTAATTTGTAAAACTTACAGGTATGTATGTATAGGAAAAAACATAGTAAATAGGGAGTTTGGTACTGTCTACAGTTTGAGGCATTCATTGGGGGTCCTGGAACATATCCCCTGCAGATAAAGGGGGACTATACTGTATCAATGATCACTTTAAATGTAACTAGGTCTAACTGCACCGATTAAAAGAAAGAGATTGGTGAGCTCTCCTCCCAGAGCATGCCCACACCTTTCTCTTCCCTCTCAGGCATGCATCTCTTAAACCCTGAGGGACCCCACAAAACTTGTAACTGGGGAAGCCATGGGCCACAGCACCTCGTTCTGGCCGAACCCCTGAACCTTCCCAAGGCCCCCTTTTCTCTGGTTCTCCAGTGAGTGGACAGCAGCCCTGCTTTGGCTCACTTCTTTCCTATAACATTGTTAGAGCCCCAAAGCAGCCCCGCCTGGGCTCTCTCCTGTTCCTTCTTCTACCCTAAGCCTTTCCTTGTTTCACTGTCCCCAGCTTTAATAAATGTTCTTTCTCTCTCTCTCTCTCTCTCTCTCTCTCTGGGAGAGAGAGATTGTCATTCATATATATATATATATATATATAGAGAGAGAGAGAGAGAGAGAGAGAGAGAGAGAGAGAGAGAGAAGGAGGGAGAGAGAGAGATTGTCAGAGTGGATTTGTTTAAAATGAGGCCCCAACTATATGTTGCCTACAAGAAAACCACTTTAAATATAAATAATTCAATAGATTAAAAGTAAAGGAATAGAAAAAGATATACAATGATAATACTAATCAAAAGAAAGCTGAAGTAGCTTATTTATTTTGGACAAAGTAGACTTCAAAACAAAGAAAATTATCAGGCATAAACTGAAACACTACATAGTAATAGGGGGTCATTTTCCAAGAAGACATACAATCCTAAAATTGTATGCACCCAACAATAATGTCATCCCAATAAACTCAAAAAACATGTGAGACAAAAACTGATAGAAATAGAAGAAAAATAGACAAATCCAATATTATAGTTTGAGACTACAACCAATCGAAAATGTACCTAGAACACTGTATATTTGTTGTCTTCAAACTTGGTAAAACAGCTTTTTGCTTTATTGAGTGCCAGTTGGAAGGCTCCCTGGCCACCTGGCCACTAGATGGCAGGGCAGCACCATTCTCCAGGGCACCAGCAAAACAAATCACAGTCTCAGGGATAAGTGGCCACAGGTAGGAAGGCCGCCTGCTCTAAAAGTTTAGGAAGTAAAATTTCACTATGTTCTTTTTGAGCACTCATTTTTTTATTGTTATTGAAGAACATTTTAAATTTGAAATGTGAACAACACAGGAGTGTATACAGAATAAAATGGAAACTCTCCTTATTCTGTCGAAAGTAAACAGGATCCAGGTCTTGCTTCCGAGGATAAATATGGCCCAGTGTGGACCGTGGCCAGCGTTCTCTGTAAACACCGTCTCCTTAGGGTTTCCTTCTCTCTCCCTGAGTTTCACCTAAACCTACCCTTAATCCCTATTCAATCCTAACCCTGACCCACAACTCCCTCCTCTAAAATGTATAACGGCTGCTTCTGAAACTGAGCGTGGTGGGTGGAAGGGTAAGTTCGCGGTTTGCAGTACTCAGCGTGAACACCAAATCGGTGACAATGCAGCAGCAGGTACCAATCTAGGTAAACTCAATAAGCTCTGTCATTGTAAAATATAGGTAATGCCCTGACTGGTGTGGCTCAGTGGGTTGAGTGCCAGCCCACAAACCGAAAAAGTCACCAGTTTGATTCCCAGTCAGGGCACATGCCTTGGTTGTAGGCCAGGTCCCCAGTGGAGTGGGGGTGGGGTGAGAGGCAACGGATTATTTCTCTCACACATCAATATTCCTCTCCTTCTCTTCCTCCCTTCCCTCTCTGAAAACAAATTAAAGTATAGGTAAAACAATGACACCTGAAAAGACATCACAGAGAAGTTAGAATTTGGTTAAAGAAACCAAACTCTAGCCCTGGCTGGTGTAGCCCAGTGGATTGAGAAACCAAACTCTAACTGACCACCAAAGTCACCTTTGGTGGTCAGACATAGAAGGTTTACTTACTTTGGGTTACACTGTAAATTTATATTTTTTTCCATCAAAATACAGTTAAAATGACTTTGTACAGGTTTAACAAATGTATTGATTGTGTAAATACCATCACAAGTCAGGAACCAGAAGAGCCCCATTACCTCAAAACAGCTACTCTATGATCACTCATGAATGGCTAGTGATGTTGGGTGTCTTTTCGGGAGCTCACTGGTGAAATGTCTGTTCAGATCTAGAGCCTACTTTTTTAAGATTAGGTTTAGATTTCTTACTGTTGAGTTTTGAGAGCTTTTCTAAATATATTTTATTGATTGTGCTGTTACAGTTGTCCCAATTTTTACCTACTTTCCTCCAGCAATCCCTTAGTTTATTTCCATGGGTAGTGCATATAAGTCCTTTGGCTTCTCCAT